CTCTCACACACACACACACACACACACACACACACACACACACACACACACACACACACACACACACAAACAGACACACAGGGATAACTCTGAACGGGCAATGTAGGGGGTCAGGTTGGGGGCGGGAGTGCATTTGTGTGTGTTGGGGCGAGGCAGGGGGGTGATTCAAGGGCAGAAAGGAGGAAAGGGAAAGGATGGATTAATCTATCCAGTAAGCGCGAGGAGAGTATGTGTGGCAGAAGCCATGTTGGTTCACTTCAGCTTCACATATCCTGTCAGCCCAAAGAGTGTGTGTGTGGCAGGAGCCATGTTGGTGCATGTGTGCAGAGCTAACCGTGCAGAGAAACTAAATTCATCTGCAAAAGGGTTCCGCCCAAGATTGGGGTGGCACAGAGGGGAGGGGCACGTTGCATGCATGTTGGCAGCGGAACATACAGAATGGGTCGCCATGTATGCGAGCATTGCATTTGCAACATTCACTACCCAAGTATGCATGCCCGCACACTAACATGCAGAAGCACATTCCCATCAACACCGCAAGTGTGCCTGTGCGGGCGCGCTCAAGAAAGAACCAGGTAGGAATTGAACTCCAGGGAGGACAGAGGGGACAGGGAAGGCAGGAGGGGTGTTATCTAAACAATCAATACTGCAACCCATTCTCCGCCCCGATGCATAGATATCAGAGTTGGAACAGAAGAACCAACGTAATTTTTTTAACCACCAACCCCTAACCCCTAATCCCAGCCATTTTTCTACGGTGTGGGTGTGCTCGCATCTGGCAGGATGTACCGCCCTGCCATTTCGCTTGGGAAACATCAAGGCAGAACAGGTCATGCACGCCTGGATCAATTCAGTCCAAAACAGCAGGCCTGTACATCCTGACAGACGTAGGCGTGCACGCATGGCGTCGTAGAAAAATGGCTGGGAAACGTACTGGTGGTTTAAATGACTATGATGTTTTGGTGAAATGGCTGTTTCACTGGTGCATTTTGAGTGGTGCAAGGCCTCCCACGTCTGTGTACTTGAGCGCAGGATGCATACACAGTATTACACACCCATTTGCTTTTCAGCACACTTGCACCATAGCTTTTTCTCTGTTCTCTTCGTGATTCTTCTTCATATGCATTTACTGTGTGAGTATGCCTGCACGGGTGCTTTGAGGAAACACGTGAATTCTCTTTTTTCGGCGATTTGGACCCAGATTTTCCGCATGTGATGGTATGTATGTACACGGACGCCGTACCTTCATCTTACATGCTCTCAATTGAGTCGTTTGGATGTATCTGGTCGCTTATACGACCAGATTGGCATATGCTCCATTGTCACATGCTGTCATGTGAGGTCTCACGGGACAAAAAACTGTGCCAAAACATGGTCAGCTCACTCATCGGAGGATGATCAAATCACAACACCCTTCCAAGCTCAATTTCGTCATGCCAGCAAAATATTTCAATTTTAACTAAAAGGCAGTTAAAACTTAAAAGACATTGACATACACAGAGTGTCCAAATCCGTTTACTAGAAATACCAACTGAGATTCTATAGACCATCTAACCTACCTACCAAGTTTTTCTTTTCTTTTTAGATTGTGGGTGAAGCATTTCTGTGCACACCACAAGATCAGCCTGAATATGTGCTCTTTTTTCTTTTCAAGTGTTGTTGATTGAGGGGGGAGGGAGTGGAAGGGAGCTATACATTGGGTTTAAAGGGGGGTTCACGGGTTTATAAACCCCAAAGGGGTGTGCTTTGGTTTGATTTTCTTTTTTTTAATCCTCGAAGTACTAAGACACTCCGATGCAATAACCCATGCCATATGTCTCGTGGAAAAACTGAGGGCCAACTCGGCCTCCCTCAGCCCAGGCCGAAACAGAGGCAAAAAGATCCCACGCGAGGACTCAGGGCCTGGACGTGTGGCAGTTGACTTTGGTCAACTGTCGAGATCCCAACAGTCAAGGTCCAAAGGTACCTAGCCCAGGCCGCTGGTCAAGCACACACACTTGTTTGTATGCAGGTACCCAGACAGCATCAGGTCCAAGGGAGAAGTCTGCAACTACACAATCTGGGCCCTCAGCTGAGTCAATCTGGATGACTGTGGGAAAAGCACCCGAGGCCAGACAGCCTCGACCATTGCTACTTAAGGCTGGCCTCGAGTGAGTCAAGCATTCAGTCTTGCCATGCTGCTTGGACGCGGGCTCGACTTTGACTAGACGCTGGCTTTATGCTGGCTTGACGCTGGCAAGACACTGGCTGTGCACTGGCAATGCGGACGACATCACGAGGTGAAGGCAGCACGCTGGCGCTTTCTGCATTGTGCGCCAGCCTTGCTGAGGTGGCATGCTGATGTGGCACTACCTCTGGACTATTGCATGCTGATGTGGCGCTACCTCTGGTCGACATTGAATGCTGATGTGGCACTACCTCTGGTCTACATTGCATGCTGATGCGGCGCTACCTCTGGTCTACATTGCATGCTGATGTGGCGCTACCTCTGGTCTACATTGCATGCTGATGTGGCGCTACCTCTGGTCTACATTGCATGCTGATGTGGTGCTGCCTCTGGTTTACAGTGCATGCTGATGTGGCGCTACCACTAGTCTACATTGCTGATGTGGTGCTGCCACTGGTCTTTATTGATGATGTGGCATATGCCACCTGTCTCGACTGCTGACGTGACATTGTCTACGCTGTCTACATGAGGTGACTGGTTGCGAGGAGGAGGAAGATCGGGATCTGTGGATGAAGGAGATCGGGTACTCACCTGAGGTTGACGCCGTCACTGGATCTGCTATGCCTTCATGGTCTTCCGAGATAACGTGCCACGTGGCACTATTGTGTGTGATCAGGAATATACTTATTATCTTTGTTGACGTGGAGAGGGAAGAAGCCCCGAGAAGGAGAGGGGTCTGAAGGGATAATTATTGTGTGATCTTTCATCTTCTCCTCTGTCTGTTTCCCCTCCACTCTCTTCTTTTGATGGTAAAGAGATACTGTTTGAGACATCACTTCACGATTTGGAGACCTTATGCAGATAATGAGACTAGTGATGTTTATAGACTTCTGAGTATCTGCCAGACTGGGTTCATTAACCGAAGTGACGCTCAGCCAAAAGTTGATATACTGCAATTCCACACAACATTTTCCTTCCAGAAATTTTTGATTTTTTTTTTTTAATTTCCTTTTTGCAATTTACTGAATACAACCCCCGGGTGTTATTTTCAGGGTGAAGACCATGGCTATTCTTTCTTTTCTGCCCCTCGAAACAACAGGGCTTTCTGGTTGTGGCTCTGTTCTATTCTGGCAAGCGGCAATCCAGCAAGTCAAAGAAGTAGTTCGATGCTATGACACTCTCTACCCACGCTAACCGCTGGTTTTATCTAGCCTGTAGCTGATCACTATTCTTGAGGAATGCTATTGTTGAGTACATCCTCGTTCAAGGAAGTAATCAATGCCGTCTTCTGGGCCTCCACGCCATAAGGGGGAGGAGCGTGAGTGAGTAACATTTGTACTATCTTGGACTTGCCGGGGGAAAAGGAACCGGACTGATGCTCCCCAGAATGGAAAAGGAGCCAGAACCATAAGGTTCTGTTTAAAATTATAAAAAAAAAAAGCTGCAGATCAGCACAATGCCTTACCATCCGGCGTTGACATTGCTGTTCTTTAGCCAAATACCTCTGAAGCAAACCTGTTCACATCACACCAACATAATGGATCAGAGAAAACCACTAGAGGACCGATCCTGTGGGGAGGCAAGAGATAAAGAGAGTCAAGAGACCACCATAAGTCTTTCAATTGCATAGCCAACAAAACACAAAAGAAATGAGAGACGTTCAAAACCCACCTAACCCAGTGACAACCCTCATCCAAGAAACGCATAACGCATACATGTGCTTCTCCACCACCTCCCACGAGTCCCCGCAACTCGTTCATGAACCCAATACCCAGCTGTGCAAACCTACAGGTAATATAAATGCCACACTGTTGTGCCTTACACGGGCACCAGTACCATCGGCAGGTTTACTGGATGACAAGGCCCCCCGACGTTTTGTAGGGTTTCAGGTTCCATCCAGAGGAGTAATTGCTGGAATTATGTTCTGATATCACACTAAAAGGCAGAAGGGTGATAACACCCTAGGAAGCGGAAAGGTCTCACTGGAGGCGCATAGGGCATTCACATTCCAATCCATGGACATTCCCGGGGGGGGGGGGGGGGGAGGCCCGTGAGGGGGGGCATAGTTCCATCCATTTTCCCAAATAGCTTAGGTATGTAGAAAGTACAACAGCTCAGTTTATGACAGAGGAGAGCTGCTGCTCTACATATGACCAATTGCGTGGACGCCTGTCATGGACTTCAAGAAACACCACATGGACTATGTTGTCCTCAGCACGATGCCCTAAGCACTAGCCAAGTTCAAAGAAGCTAGAAGTGGGAAAATGGACTGCTCCAAGTGGTGGCCCGTCAGTCCCAAGAACTGGACGAGGGAACACTTTCCACTAAACCCCCATTGTACTTCACTGTCTATCCTTGATTCCAGGAGGCCACTCATTTCATGCCGAGCCGTAGGATTAAACCACCAGTGGTTCCCAGCCCCAATTCTCCAACGCGTTTTTTGGCCCATCCAAACTGCCGCATGGTGCGATTTCCCTACCGCCACCAGCCTCCTCCTGACGAGCACGCGACTGCATCGTAACCAGTGGGCGTTTGTTGAAAGGCTCGGTTGCCTGCTGGTAGTTTGGTATCTTATGGCCACAGAATTTTTTTTGCAGCCTTGGGACTAAACCACCAGTTCACAGAAGCCTAAGCTGAGGAAGCTACCTTCCAAGGCTCCGGAGCCTTCAACTGGGCCTTTTCAAATTGGTCTTCTGCGATCACTACCGGCCCGGGCCCAAGCGTCATGGCCATACCTCGTAATAAGCCGGTAAGAGCCCAACTTAGCATTGGGCGAACTGGCATTTTAAAACCATTTTTTTCCCCCCGGATGCAATGGCGTTTTTTCAGAAAGAAAAAACCGACAAACAAACAGGAGAGAAAAGGGTAAGGAGAGGGATGACAAAAGAACAAGACCCCAGCAGCATGTCATGATCCAACATGGACCCTAACACACTACATTTGCCAAGCCCTGTCCTTTTCTCAGCAAGAGGAGAAATTATCAGAGAGATCAATATAAGTTATTCAGCTTTCCTGGGAAGAAACCGTTTTATTCAGAGGGGCATGTTCCCATCCAGTTCTTTTAAATCCACAGGTCAAGAATAACCATACGCAGATGCAAGGCAACACCTCTATATGATGACAGGAATTACCAAACCTCATTTACCCCTCGTCTGCCTGCCTTTCTTTCTTTTAGGCCCTAAGATCATAATTGTATTCACCTGATTGTATCAGGGTTTGAACTCGAGTGTTTATCACGAGCTACACGTGCCTACCATTCCGCTACAGGACAGGTACTCCTTTCTGCCTGTCTATCTCGTTTCCTTATGGGTTGTCAGAGCATACTCACACCAGGACTTTTCTGGATTTATCTGACCACAATTATGTATCTGATGGCAATTACATCCAGAGATCATTTGAAAATGTCCTACTGTAAGTACGCCCTTACGCATGCTGTGTGGGGCAACCTGCTGACACTCGGGGAGGAGCTCCGCTTCCTTCTCCATACATAACATGATAAACTACCTGCCTTCTTCTTGATCTCTCATCCATCTAGAGCATGCTCTTTTCCCTCTGGCAGGAGTCTCCTGCCCCATCCATCTGGCAGACCCTCCTGTCCCATTTATCTGGCAGGAGCCTCCTTTCAGACTTGGCACCCTTTCCTTCCATGTAATTACCGCCCTCCCTCTTCCCCGGGTATGGCTTTGTATCCATGGGTTGCCCAATCCCTCCTACTGTGAACTCACAGGTACAAATTTCTATTAATTAACTAGTATTCCTGTTTTCGTCTTTGTCTTTCTTTAAAGTTTAAACCGCCACTGCCTTGCACCCCATTTTGTCGAACCTAAAATCTTCCCGAGCGAATCCAACTGGTCACCACCAGGCTGGTACAGATGAAGCACGCCCTCCACGTCAACGGCCACAAGTTTCAGAGGGAGGGTCCTGGCAGTGGTGGTTTAATAGGGTTTAGGCCCTAACAATTTCACAACTAGCAGGATTTGAACACTCAACCTTGTTATCAACAACTATAGATGTATATCAACTCACAGCTACAGACTTCCGACGAGTCAGCTACACATTTCAAGTGTCCTCAAAAACTTAACAATGCTAACTCATGTGGTGCTTAGTCAATTAGGGCATACCCACTCTACGACTTTCTCGAATGAATCTGCCGACAAGTGCAGCCAGATTCAGTTTCAGTAGTCCTAGTGTGAGTAGCCCCTTGGGTTACGGCATTTGGGAGGGGGGGGGGGGGGGGGGGGGGGGGGGGGGGGGTAGTCCAATGTCTGTTCTTTGGCAAGCTATGTCGCATTTATGTGAGGACCCTCAACTGTAGGATCAGTGCATCTGGCAACAGGATTACACCAGTGGATTCATCCGTTGACTAAGTTGACTTTCTGTAACTGAAGGTGTTACAACTCCTCACACACACACACACACACACACACACACACAATAATTAGCAATTAAACCAACAGCACGTTTCCCATGCACCGCGACTTTCGGGGCTCGGCCTGCCACGCCAAAATGGCTGTGGACGACAGCCAAAGACAAAAAAAAAAAGTGTGCGTGCCGTTTGGGCAAACTGCCGTGCACAGCGGCCTCGGGAATAGAGGCTCGTGCTGGTGGTTTAAACCACCAGTACCTCCGCGCCTTTTTTTGCCAAGGGGCATTCCGTCGATATGAGCTCTTGGGAGTCATCAGCCTGTTATCCCCGGCATCCCCTGCGCGCCCAAAAAAAACGAACCGCCACAGAGGCTTTTTCTTTTTTTTCTTTGAAAGAAAAAAAGAAAAAGGCAACGTCCTTGGGATATCATCGTGAAGCTGACCGGCCCCAAGTAATTTAGAAATCCATTCCACTAGTTCCATCTGGATTCGGACTCATGTCTGTGTTTCAACAATTCATAGGTGTACCAACAACTGAGCTAGGGCCGTTGGTTTCATTTTCGTTTCGCCTTGTGCCCCCAGCCATTTCAGTCCGCTAGCACTGGTCATCTGAATAAACCCAGAATGTCACATTTTTTTGGATTCTGAAGTTTGCCAGCACGAGGTACCGGGGTGGTTTACCAGCAACTAAAAGTCTGTGGGGAGTTACCCAACCCATGTGGCTAAATGGTACACACATCGACCGTTACCGGTAGTAAACAGGTCATGAGTTTGATTCCTTACGGAACCAGATCGATGCAATAGGGCTACAGGGGCTACCCCTTTTAAACCACCAGTCCTTTTCCCAGCTATTTTGGTCTGACACGCCCGTACATCTGCCGCAAAATTGCGGGTCGAGCCCACCGGATGGAAAGGGCTGGCTCCGCCAGGCAAATTGATTTCCATGCCGGTTCAGCTGGAATTGGCGTGCAGCGAAAATCTGCATCAGGAAAAAGAGGCTCAGAGCGACCGGTGGTTTTTCAAAGAAACGACCAAACAAACAAACAAACAAACCAGCGTGAGGAGTGGCACAAAGCACAGCTCGCAATACCTGTAACGGCAAGTAGGGGGACATTCAGAGCAGCTGCATTTCGCGAAGATAAAAAAGGTTCCCTTGGGAAAAACAATCCAGCCATCACAACACCTCCATAGGCAATCTGACAAAAAAAAAAGGCCACAACCAACAAAAAGATGTCACTTTCCCGAGTCACCAAAACAGGACGTCACTGGAACAAGAAAGCCTCGCAAAGCATCATGCAGTTCAATCAATTTATTCAAGCTCCTTCAAAGTTCAAATTCATTCATTCTTTTTTGTTTAATTTTAGATCATTTCTCAATTTATGCATGTCATCCTTGCGCAGGGGCCATGCTAATCTTCTTTCTCTCTGTCGTTCTAATTTTAACGGACGTCCCGAAGGACTTCAAATTCTTCAATTCTTCAATTCATTCATTCATTCATGGCATACAAACTAGCTACGGATGTGCATGCCTCTGTGGATGAACGCCATGAACACAAAATAACAATGGATGTTATTCAATAATTCAACACATGACAGTGGTGACACCCACAGTAAAAGAACATCACACGTTTTCATCACCTGCTGAACGAAACAGAAGAAACCCGAGTGATCTGTTTGAGACCCCACTATAGTAACCCCAATAAAAGAGAGACAATGAAAGACCAAAGGTGACCACAAAACCAGTTGTCACAGTAAAACTATAAGGAATCATGCGAATAAGATTACAAAATATTAAATAAACAAAAAAACGTAAAAAGTTGAAAACATGAAAGAAAAAAATTGTTGTTTAACTGCTAGTACACCAGTTATTTGATCCCTTTGCAACTTTACTTTGCCCGTCTGCACTGAGGTTTTCGCATGCAAACACTGCTCAACAGAAACCTCTGGGCTTTTCTTCTCACAATTCAAGTCTATTTCATGCCTTGCACTTGTCGGCACTAAAGGCTGCAAATGTTCCCTTTCTTCTTTCTGCTTTTGTAGGCCCCCGCAGTTTCAAAAAAATCTCTTTGCGACTTCACTTTTATCCATCTACGAACAGGTTCTGCCATGCAAATGTTCTTTGCAAAACCTCAGGACCTTCGCTCTGGCATTTTGTAACCTTGATGCCCTTGTTGCATTTGTAAAACCAGAGGCTGCAAATGCGCTCCCTTATGCCTTCATGAGGCCTTTTGTGCCAGTCACAAATTTGAAATTTCCGACTGCCACTATTCGCTATATCCACCTTCTTTGTCTTCTACAACAAATGTATACCACGATTGACAAAACAGGTCTTGATGACACATAGTGGTGTCTATTGTAGATACAAGCAGTGCCCGCAGCGCACACCTGCTCCTCCTCCCCGTCTTCATCCACCACCTTCTCCTCCTCCCCACGCTGCACCGCAATCCTCCTTCACCCCCTCGTTCTCAGCCACCTCCTCTCCGTCCTTGTCCCCCATCCCCCTCCTCCTCAGCCACCTCCTCCTTGTCTGATGTGTTCTCCTTCGCCATCTCAACTTCCTCCTCCTCCCCCTCCTCCTACTTCCCTCCTCTGCCATCTATGCAGCCAAGCAAAGTAAAAGAAAACAGCCCTTACACACACAAAAAGTTCACCTCCTGATTTTTAGCCCATGGGTGTGGCATACTGCGCAGCCACACGGGCCTGCAGGGCCCTACAGGCCCTGTGTCGTTTTCAGCCTAAAAGCCTGAAAACAAGGGCCTACAGGCCCTGTGCCGTTTTCAGCCTAAAAGCCTGAAAACAAGGGCCTACAGGCCCTGTGTCGTTTCAGCACAATGGCCTACAGGCCCTGTGTCGTTTCAGCCTGAACGCCTGAAAACGAGGGCCTACAGGCCCTGTGTCGTTTCAGCCTAAAAAGGGCCATCCAGGCCCTGACTCTTTTCAGCCTGAAACGGAGGGCCATTTTCAGGCCCTCATAAGATCGACCTGCCCTGAAACTTAGGCACCAGACCAGGGTTTTAGCACATGCCATTTTGGGCCTGTTTTCAAGACAACCTTTGTTTGAACTTCAATGCCAGGGTCTGGCACGTTTTGGCATTGGCAAGAGCAGCCTCCTGGACGGGCCAGCACTATATAAGACTGACCCGCCCTGCAGGCTGCAGGTAGTTCATAGGTACTTCCCAGGCACTTCACGTGCAGGAGGCAGGAGGCAGTCTTCAGGATTCGGCAGCAACACTCTGGAGGAGCGCTGCAGTAGTAGTAGTAGCATTAGCAGTAGTCTTCCGCGCCGGGCGCTATTAGGAGCTAGAGTAACGTTAGAGAGAAAGAGATGGTTGGCGGAGGCCAGGGAGACTTACCTGTGGCGCCCTAGCTCCAGCTTCGTCTTCGATGTACCTGCAACAAGGCGCCACCTTCACAGGTTAGTACCGGACTGAGAGAGAGAGAGTTCTTCTTCTTCCTCTTCTAAGTCCACCATCTCTCCCTCACCCTCTCGCTACCTAACTTCTCAGTATCTGCAGACTACGCGAGAGAGAGAGAGAGATTGGTGACTTTGGGACTTGACGACATTTGGATCCAGACTCTACATTGGGATTGAGACACTGGACGAGGGATTATTTGGGACCTGTATCGAAGACTTAGTGTTGACGACCTTCCCATCTTCCCCTCTTCTTCGTCTAACCCCCCTCTTCTTCGTCTGTGTATGGTTGGGGACTGGCGCATTCTTCCTGTGTGAGCGCCAGGCCTCTTCACACCATGGAATGATGATGATGTATGTTTGGATCATTGGTATATTAGCCTTCCGCTGCGCTATCTTGTACTATGTGAGAGAGGTCGGTTCTTGTTCTTTACGGTATGCGACAATGGGCCTCTCCCGAGTCAACAGTCGACGTGTATGCAGACTGACTCTCGGCCAAGCCACACAAAAAAACACGTGGCCAAAGTTAGGCACAACTCGGTCCTTGGCAAGGCCAGGTGGTATCATATTAGTTTGCTGGGAGGCATCATTTGGACTGGGCGGTACCATGTGGGGCGGGTCATACTATGCCGACTGGATGGTACTAACATTAAACACACACACACACACACACACACACACACACACACACACACACACACACACACACACACACACACACACGCATGCATGCACACGCACACCCGCGCATGCCACACACACACACCACATACACAAAAAGATAAAGAAGAACCAACCTTAGTCACAACTCGGCCTGCACACGTCACACACACGCCGCACACACACACACACACACACAGCCACGTTTGCCAGATGACCACCCTTCACCAACACACTCACCCCCCCCCCCCCCCCCCCCCCCCCCCCAACCACACACACCAGTAACACCCCCCATTCCCCCCCACTCCCGCCAGATGACTTGCCTCCACCAACACCTTCAACCCCACCCTCCATCCCTGAGGAACCCCCACCAGTAACACCCCCCTCTCCAATGACTTTCCCTAACAATCCTTTTGGGGGGTCCCCCCTCCTCATGCCCCTACCCTTACCTCACTGCTTCGCCCAGACTTGAATAAGAAAGCAACCAAGCGAGGAGCTCTTCTCTCAGTTGCCATGCCAGTGTTCGCAAGGAGGCCACAAGGAACCAGAGATCACACAGAATCAGGTTGACAATGCTGGAGAGCAATCAGCACGCCAACTGAGACACTGCAGACTCCCCGCACAAGAGAGTTGCTTTAGCACGTCAGATGTACTCATGTAGCTCCCAGACTTGCAGGGGATATAGACAGAGAAGCACCTGGAGTTAACAGACAGGAGCTGAGAACGTAAGAGCTATAAAAGGTGACAGGGATACACTGGGACGCTGGACCGGATTTCCAGCAATTCAGACAGAGATGTAAAGGGCCGCTGATAGGAAAGAAGACATATTGTGATCCATAGATCGGGCAAGCGAGCCTCAGGGACGCTGGACTCCGTTTCCAGCAATAGTGACAGTTCTGTACAGGGACGCTGAATCCATTTTTCAGCAAAAAAAGAAAAAAAAGGAGGGAACCAGCTCCAATGTTGGTGTGGCTCTACAGTCCATGTTAGCACAAAAGGTGTGAGGGGAACCGGTACACAGAAGGAACAGAGCAAAGTGACGACTGCTGGTGCAGGGTTGCAACATCAGCCAGGCAGTGCAGGCAGGCTTTTTTTCCCTCAAAAGAGTTTTCAAAATCAACCCAAAAGCGGATCCTTGAGGTGGCCCGGACCCAGGCAGCACATCTGACAGCCAAAAAGCCATCTGGAAGTTCTATTTTCTAGAAGTCCGAAAACCTGGATGGCCTGGACCCGTGGCGTCGACATCTGTGCTGGGAAGTCTGGTCGCTTGGGTAATAAAACTTCAACAATTTCACAAAAAAAAACAAAAAGAATTGATCCGTCCTGCTGTGATTTCAGTGGTTATGGTGATCACTGATCAGTGATCAGTGATCAGTGATCAGTGATCAGTGATCACTCAGACATCAAAGACAGTAGCCGCGCGCATACTTGCAAGCGCACGTCATGCGGGCAATTTCGCATGTGCAGTGATTTGAAATGGTTTTTCACCTTTTAGCAGTAGCAGATGCAGTGCCCAGGGTTCGATCCCTAGACCTCACCCTACCTATGTACAGTATCTGTATAGACCCCGAGCATTGAACCTGTGACCTGTGTATTCGTAGACAGTTGGTAGGTTTGTCGTAGGTCCATAGGCAGCAGGGGTTCGATCTGTAGGTCTATAGCGTAGAAGTCTTAGCGAGTTCCGGAAGCTTAGCTGTAGACCTTCTAGAAGGTAGGCAAGTGGKCAAGTGGTCAAGTGGCRAGGCAAGTGGTGGACTAAACCGCAGTACAACAGCAGTACAACRGCRGTAGGATAGCGGTGAGTCCACAGTCAGTCAGCGGGAGGTCCAGTCAGTCCCAGTCCGGTCCAGCAAGTACCACGRGGGGACTGTACGTACCATGGGCYGATGGCAAAGGGCAGACCAACGAGTTTCTGGAGTATAAATCAAGAGGCAGCGCCCAGCCTTTCATTCATTCCTGTGGGAGCCATGCRGAAGCGCTGCCACAGCGACTTGTGCAAGGAGGTCTGCAGATGAGCCCGGCGGACGCAGTGGGCAAGAGAGAGGGAGTAGCATAGTGATAGGTTAGATGCAGCGATAGCTGCCATAGCCATAGTTAGTAGTGAGTGTGTGTGTGTGTGTGTGTTCGAGTGTCAGAGTGATGCGTGTGGGGTATCCAGGGTGATCCAGTGTATGTGAACAGTGAGATGTTTGGGCGCTGAA